TGACACCCTCTCTATATACGGCACTATTTTCTCTATATACGGCACTATTTTCTCTATATACGGCACTATTTTCTCTCTCTCTTTCTCTCTCTCTCTCTCTCTCTCTCTCTCTCTCTCTATATATATATATATATATATATATATATATATATATATATATATATATATATATATATATATATATATATATATATATATATATATATATATATATATATATATATGCTACATCGACTGACAAATAGCCTGACTCGCAAGGGAATGCTGCTACATCGACTGACAAATAGCCTGACTCGCAAGGGAGTGCTGCTACAACGACTGACAAATAGCCTGACTCGCAAGAGAGTGCTGCTACATCGACTGAGGGTTTGGTTTGGCCAGGCAGTCTATCAATTAAAAAAAAAAATTTAATTTTTAAAACTTTTTCTGGTCTGGTTTATTAACGCGCTCTTTAAAACTACAGTTTATGGGAAACTTTTTTTGATGCCATGCAAGAGACATGCAAGAGTATATATATATATATATATATATATATATATATATATATATATATATATATATATATATATATATATATATATATATATATATATATATATATATATATATATATATATATATATATATATATATATATATATATATATATATGTATATATATATATTAGGGTGGCCCTTAAAATAAATGGATAAATGAAAACCGGAAAAAAACTACCCAATGCGTCCTGTTGTTTCTACTATTATGGAACATCTGAGTATCTGGTTAAAATTATCCAACCAACATTAAACAAAAATATAACTCGACTAATTAATTCAAGAAACTTTGAAACAAGATGCTAAAGAATGGAAGATAGGCCCTTTTTGGAAGATAGTATTTGAAAAGTTCATTAATACGATTAAACTTGGCTGTTTTAATGGGCAGAAATGTTACATAGGAAGATTTTGTTTCAATACTAAAAAAGTTTTCGATTTTTTGCAACGTTTTAAAAGAGTTATTTTCTAAGAACATTTTGAAGTCATTTAAACTCTGCTAACTGGCTCACGTTCCCTATCACACTTAGCTCCTCTGAACTCAATTATCCCTCTAATGGGTCTTAGCAACGCGTTGTATGCTTTTTGAAAATTAAGGATTTTGAATATATAGAGGTTCCATAATTCATAATGCTATCGTTGAATTAATATTCAATATAAAAAACAGCAATGATGAATAGATATTTAATATAAACAACGGTAAAGTTAAATAGATGTTCAATATAAACAACAGTAAAGTTTAATGGATGTTCCATTTAAACAACAGCAAAATGTTTCTTTATTTCTGTTGTTTTGATTAGTGACAGCCATTCTGAGGATAATGTAACTGAATCTTGTTTCCTTCTTTTCTTCTCTATTTGGCATAAATCTTTATCACAAGGTATGCGATTATGAACTGCGAAGGGATAACTAATTAAAACTTTTGTTATGGAGGTATGTGTGCATACAATACTTTGCAAATATGCAAATAAATTCCGATTTTTATTTTGAGGCAAACAACAAACATTATCTAATGAGTAATTGTATCAGGTAAGCTAGTAAGGCAATCACAATAA